AGTTGTAGTACTAGTACTACTAGTTATAGTACTAGTACTACAACTAGTGGTACTATAACTAGTAGTACTAGTACTATAACTAGTAGTACTAGTACTATAACTAGTAGTACTAGTACTATAACGTGTAGTACTAGTACTATAACTAGTAGTACTGGTACTATAACTAGTAGTACTAGTACTATAACGTGTAGTACTAGTACTATAACTAGTAGTACTATAACTAGTAGTACTAGTACTATAACTAGTACTACAACTAGTACTACAACTAGTAGTACTATAACTAGTAGTACTAGTACTACAACTAGTAGTACTAGTACTACAACTAGTAGTACCAGTACTATAACTAGTAGTACTAGTACTATAACTAGTAGTACTCGTACTATAACGTGTAGTACTAGTACTATAACTAGTAGTACTAGTTGTAGTACTACTAGTACTACAACTAGTACTATAACTAGTAGTACTAGTACTATAACTAGTAGTACTAGTACTACTACTAGTAGTACTAGTACTACAACTAGTACTACAACTAGTACTACAACACACAGCTAGTACTACAACTAGTACTACAACTAGTACTACAACACACAGCTAGTACTACAACTAGTACTACAACTAGTACTACAACTAGTACTACAACACACAGCTAGTACTACAACTAGTACTACAACTAGTACTACAGCTAGTACTACAACTAGTACTAACTACTACTACTACTGATGATGGTGCTGATGATGATGATGGTGATGATGATGGTGCTGGTGGTGATGATAATGATGATGGTGATGATGGTGCTGGTGATGATGATCATGGTGATAATGATGATGGTGATGATGGTGATGATGATGGTGAAGGTGATGATGGTGATGATGATGATGGTGATGATGCTGGTGATGATGATGATGATGAAGGTGTCGGTGATGATGATGGTGATGATGATGATGATGCTGCTGATGATGATGATGATGGTGATGATGATGGTGATGATGATGCAGGTCTGGGCGTAGCGCTCCAGCTGGAGATGTTCCGTGTGATATCTGCCGTGGTGATGATGATGCTGGTGATGATGATGATGGTGGTGGTGGTGATGGTGATGATGATGGTGGTGGTGATGATGGTGATGATGATGGTGGTGATGATGCTGATGATGGTGGTGATGGTAGTGGTGATGATGATGCTGGTGATGATGGTGATGATGATGATGGTGGTGGTGATGATGGTGATGATGATGATGGTGGTGATGATGGTGATGATGATGGTGGTGATGATGCTGATGATGGTGGTGATGGTAGTGGTGATGATGATGGTGATGATGGTGATGATGGTGATGATGATGGTGGTGGTGATGGTGATGATGATGATGGTGATGATGATGGTGGTGGTGATGGTGATGATGGTGATGGTGTAGATGGTGATGGTAGTGATGATGGTGGTGATGATGGTGGTGATGATGATGATGGTGGTGGTGATGATGGTGGTGATGATGGTGATGATGATGGTGGTGGTGATGATGGTGGTGATGATGCTGATGATGGTGGTGATGATGATGGTGATGGTGGTGATGATGAAGGTGTTGGTGATGATGGTGCTGGTGATGATGCTGGTGATGGTGATGATGGTGATGATGATGGTGGTGGTGATGGTGATGATGGTGATGGTGTAGATGGTGATGGTAGTGATGATGGTGGTGATGATGGTGATGATGATGGTGGTGGTGATGATGGTGGTGATGCTGATGGTGATGGTGATGCAGGTCTGGGCGACGCACTCCAGCTGGAGATGTTCCGTGTGATATCTGCCGTGGTGATGATGATGGTGATGATGATGGTGATGATGATGCTGATGATGATGGTGATGGTGCTGGTGTTGGTGGTGATGATGATGGTGATGATGATGATGGTGATGATGATGGTGCTGGTGTTGGTGGTGATGATGATGATGGTGATGATGAATGGTGGTGATGGTGGTGGTGATGATGATGAAGGTGTTGGTGATGATGATGGTGATGATGATGGTGCTGGTGTTGGTGGTGGTGGTGATGATGGTGATGATGATGCTGGTGATGATGATGGTGGTGGTGATGATGATGCAGGTCTGGGCGACGCACTCCAGCTGGAGATGTTCCGTGTGATATCTGCTGTGGTGATGATGATGGTGATGATGATGGTGCTGGTGTTGGTGGTGGTGGTGATGATGGTGATGATGATGCTGGTGATGATGATGATGGTGGTGGTGATGGTGATGATGATGCAGGTCTGGGCGACGCACTCCAGCTGGAGATGTTCCGTGTGATATCTGCTGTGGTGATGATGATGGTGATGATGATGGTGCTGGTGTTGGTGGTGGTGGTGATGATGGTGATGATGATGCTGGTGATGATGATGATGGTGGTGGTGATGGTGATGATGATGCAGGTCTGGGCGACGCACTCCAGCTGGAGATGTTCCGTGTGATATCTGCTGTGGTGATGATGATGGTGATGATGATGGTGCTGGTGTTGGTGGTGGTGGTGATGATGGTGATGATGATGCTGGTGATGATGATGGTGCTGGTGGTGATGATGATGGTGATGATGGTGATGGTGCTGGTGTTGGTGGTGATGATGATGGTGATGATGATGGTGATGGTGATGATGCAGGTCTGGGCAACGCACTCCAGCTGGAGATGTTCCGTGTGATATCTGCTGTGCTGATGATGATGGTGATGCTGGTGATGATGATGCAGGTCTGGGCGACGCACTCCAGCTGGAGATGTTCCGTGTGATATCTGCTGTGCTGATGATGATGGTGATGATGATGCAGGTCTGGGCGACGCACTCCAGCTGGAGATGTTCCGTGTGATATCTGCTGTGCTGATGGTGATGATGGTGATGATGCAGGTCTGGGCGACGCACTCCAGCTGGAGATGTTCCGTGTGATATCTGCTGTGGTGATGATGATGCTGGTGATGATGATGCAGGTCTGGGCGACACACTCCAGCTGGAGATGTTCCGTGTGATATCTGCTGTGGTGATGATGATGGTGGTGATGGTGGTGATGATGATGGTGATGATGATGATGCTGATGATGATGATGCAGGTCTGGGCGACACGCTCCAGCTGGAGATGTTCCGTGTGATATCTGCTGTGGTGATGATGATGGTGGTGATGGTGGTGATGATGATGGTGATGATGATGATGCTGATGATGATGATGCAGGTCTGGGCGACGCACTCCAGCTGGAGATGTTCCGTGTGATATCTGCTGTGGTGATGATGATGGTGGTGATGGTGGTGATGATGATGGTGATGATGATGATGCTGATGATGATGATGCAGGTCTGGGCGACGCACTCCAGCTGGAGATGTTCCGTGTGATATCTGCCGTGGTGATGATGCTGGTGTTGGTGGTGATGATGATGGTGATGATGATGGTGGTGGTGGTGATGATGATGATGCAGGTCTGGGCGACACGCTCCAGCTGGAGATGTTCCGTGTGATATCTGCTGTGGTGATGATGATGGTGGTGATGGTGGTGATGATGATGATGCAGGTCTGGGCGACACGCTCCAGCTGGAGATGTTCCGTGTGATATCTGCTGTGGTGATGATGATGGTGGTGATGGTGATGGTGGTGATGATGATGCTGATGATGATGATGCAGGTCTGGGCGACACGCTCCAGCTGGAGATGTTCCGTGTGATATCTGCTGTGGTGATGATGATGGTGGTGATGGTGGTGATGGTGATGCAGGTCTGGGCGACACGCTCCAGCTGGAGATGTTCCGTGTGATATCTGCTGTGGTGATGATGCTGGTGTTGGTGGTGATGATGATGGTGATGATGATGGTGGTGGTGATGATGATGATGATGCAGGTCTGGGCGACGCGCTCCAGCTGGAGATGTTCCGTGTGATATCTGCTGTGGTGATGATGATGGTGATGATGATGGTGATGATGATGATGATGCAGGTCTGGGCGACGCGCTCCAGCTGGAGATGTTCCGTGTGATATCTGCTGTGGTGATGATGATGATGATGGTGATGATGATGCAGGTCTGGGCGACGCACTCCAGCTGGAGATGTTCCGTGTGATATCTGCTGTGCTGATGATGATGGTGATGATGGTGGTGATGATGATGGTGATGATGATGATGCTGATGATGATGATGCAGGTCTGGGCGACACGCTCCAGCTGGAGATGTTCCGTGTGATATCTGCTGTGGTGATGATGATGGTGATGATGATGCTGATGATGATGATGATGCAGGTCTGGGCGACGCACTCCAGCTGGAGATGTTCCGTGTGATATCTGCTGTGCTGATGGTGATGATGGTGATGATGGTGGTGATGATGATGATGCAGGTCTGGGCGACACACTCCAGCTGGAGATGTTCCGTGTGATATCTGCTGTGCTGATGGTGATGATGGTGATGATGGTGGTGATGATGATGATGCAGGTCTGGGCGACACGCTCCAGCTGGAGATGTTCCGTGTGATATCTGCTGTGGTGATGATGATGATGGTGATGATGATGCTGATGATGATGGTGATGATGATGCAGGTCTGGGCGACGCACTCCAGCTGGAGATGTTCCGTGTGATATCTGCCGTGGTGATGATGCTGGTGTTGGTGGTGATGATGATGGTGATGATGATGGTGGTGGTGGTGATGATGATGATGATGCAGGTCTGGGCGACACGCTCCAGCTGGAGATGTTCCGTGTGATATCTGCTGTGGTGATGATGATGATGGTGGTGATGATGATGATGATGCAGGTCTGGGCGACACGCTCCAGCTGGAGATGTTCCGTGTGATATCTGCTGTGGTGATGATGATGCTGGTGATGGTGGTGATGCTGGTGATGATGATGCAGGTCTGGGCGACACACTCCAGCTGGAGATGTTCCGTGTGATATCTGCTGTGGTGATGATGGTGATGGTGGTGATGGTGGTGATGATGGTGATGATGATGATGCTGATGATGGTGGTGGTGGTGATGATGGTGATGGTGGTGATGATGATGCAGGTCTGGGCGACGCACTCCAGCTGGAGATGTTCCGTGTGATATCTGCTGTGCTGCATCTGGGCAACGTTGAGATCCGGGCCAAGGAGAGAGACGCAGAGAGCAGCTTCATAGACGTAGGTGGTGCATCATCATCATCAGTAACATCATCGTCAACATCATCATCATCATCGTCAACATCATCAACATCATCAACATCATCATCAACATCATCATCATCAACATCAATATCATCATCTACATCATCATCTACATCATCATCATCAACATCATCACCATCATCTACATCATCATCATCAGTAACATCATCAACATCATCAACATCATCAACATCATCATCATCATCAACATCATCAACATCATCATCATCATCAGTAACAACATCAACATCATCAACATCATCATCTACATCATCATCAACATCATCAACATCATCAACATCATCATCTACATCATCACCAACATCAACATCAGTAACATCATCATCATCAACATCATCATCATCAACATCAACATCATCATCAACATCATCTACATCATCATCATCATCAACATCAACATCAGTAACATCATCATCATCAACATCAACATCATCCACATCATCATCTACATCATCAACATCATCAACATCATCATCTACATCATAAACATCATCATCTACATCATCTACATCATCAACTTCATCATCTACATCATCATCATCATCATCAACATCATCACCATCATCTACATCATCAGCATCATCATCAACATCATCAACATCATCAGCATCATCATCAGCATCATCAACATCATCAGCATCATCATCAGCATCATCATCAGTAACATCATCATCATCAGCATGATCAACATCATCATCACCATCATCATCTACATCATCATCTACATCATCATCAACATCATCACCACCAACATCACTACCATCATCAACATCATCGCCACCATTACCATCAACATCATCACCAAAATCACCACCATCATCAACATCATCGCTACCATTACCATCAACATCATCACCACCAACATCACTACCATCATCAACATCATCATCAACATCATCATCTACATCATCATCTACATCAACATCAACATCATCAACATTACCATTACCATCAACATCATCAACACCAACATCACTACCATCATCAACATCATCGCTACCATTGCCATCAACATCATCATCTACATCATCATCAACATCATCATCATCAACATCAATATAATCTACATCATCATCTACATCATCATCAACATCATCATCAACATCACCATCAACATCATCACTACCATCATCAACATCATCGCTACAATTACCATCAACATCTCACTCCAGCGCTGTCCTACCAGACAGTCTCGTCCCTTCACCTGATGAAGGCCGCTTGTGTTGTGGCCGAAACGTCGTGAGAATATTATTGTGTTATTTTATTTGATCAATTTATTATTTTATTCTCATTCTACGTGGTGGTGACTTTACCGAAAGAACCAAAGAAGAAACATCATCACCACCATTTGTGACTGCTTGTGTTGTGGTTATTGCAAAGACGATGCCCTGAATAAAGTTTGTCAGCTTTTGTGCCAGTTAAAAGGGTAAAACCCTATTACTATATCTTGTTACTGGCAAAGGAGGTCTCATAATGAAAATCACCACCTCTGCTTAAATCTCTGATTTTTTAAACTACGATATGGCTCACCCCCCCCTCCCTCCCTCCCCCCTCCCTCCATCCCTCCCTCTCCCTCCCCCCTCCCTCCCTCCCTCCCTCCTCTCTCCCTCCCTCCCCCTCCATCCCCCTCCCTCCCCCCTCCCTCCCTCCCCCCTCCCTCCCTCCCCCCCTCCCTCCCTCCCCCTCCCCCCTCCCCCCTCCCCCCTCCCTCCCCTCCCTCCCTCCCTCCCTCCCTCCTCCCTCCCTCCCTCCCTCCCTCCCCCCCTCCTCCCTCCTCCCCCCCTCCCTCCCTCCCTCCCTCCCTCCCCCCCTCCTCCCTCCCTCCCTCCCTCCCTCTCTCCCCCCCTCTCTCCCTCCTCTCCCTAGCCATCAGACCCCCACCTCCAAGCTCTGTGCGACCTCCTCGCACTGCCCACCACCACCGCCTCCACCTCCACCACCGCCTCCACCTCCACCACCGCCTCCACCTCCACCACCGCCTCCACCTCCACCACCGCCTCCACCGCCTCCAGCACCAGCAGCACCGCCCGGTGTCTGTCCCGCTCGCTGTGCCAGCGAGAGATCCGCACCGCCGGGGAGACGATTGCCAAGCCGCTGGCACCGGGCCAGGCGGCGGCAGCTCGTGACGGCCTGGCCAAGCGTCTCTACGCGGCCCTCTTTGCCTGGCTGGTCCGGCGCGTCAACGCCGCCCTCGCCGACAACACCAACACCGGCAACACCAACACCAACACCAACAACACCAACACCGGCAACACCAACACCAACACCAACACCAACGCCAACACCAACACCAACGCCAACACCAACACCAACACCAACACCGCCGGCAACGCTGATTACCGCGGCGGCGGCGGCGGCGACGCCGGTGGAAGATTCATCGGAGTGCTCGATATCTACGGGTAGAGGCACGCGACTCGCTCGTCCGCTCGTCAGCGAGTTAGATCGTTAGATTGTTAGATCGTTAGATTGTGATTGTTAGATCGTTAGATTGTTAGATCGTTAGATCGTTAGATTGTGATTGTTAGATCGTTAGATTGTGATTGTTAGATCGTTAGATTGTGATTGTTAGATCGTTAGATTGTTAGATCGTTAGATTGTTAGATCGTTAGCTCGTTAGCTCGTTAGCTCGTTAGATCGTTAGCTCGTTAGCTCGTTAGATTGTTAGATGGTTAGATCGTTAGATTGTTAGATCGTTAGATGGTTAGATCGTTAGATCGTTAGCTCGTTAGATCGTTAGATCGTTAGCTCGTCCGCTCGTCCGCTCGTCAGCGAGTTAGATTGTTAGATCGTTAGATCGTTAGATGGTTAGATTGTTAGATCGTTAGCGTGTTAGATCGTTAGATGGTTAGATTGTTAGATCGTTAGATCGTTAGCTCGTTAGATCATTAGCTCGTTAGATCGTTAGATCGTTAGCTCGTTAGATCGTCAGCTCGTTAGACCGTTAGCACGTTAGATTGTTAGATCGTTAGCTTGGTAGCTCGTTAGATCGTTAGATTGTTAGCTCGTTAGATCTTTAGCTCGTTAGCTCGTTAGATCGTCAGCTCGTTAGATCGTTAGCTCGTTAGCTCGTTAGATCGTTAGCTCGTTAGATCGTTAGATCGTTAGCACGTTAGCTCGTTAGCTCGTTAGATTGTTAGCTCGTTAGATCGTTAGATCGTTAGCTCGTTAGCTCGTTAGCACGTTAGCTCGTTAGCTCGTTAGATTGTTAGCTCGTTAGATCGTTAGCTCGTTAGATCGTTAGATCGTTAGCTCGTTAGCTCGTTAGCACGTTAGCTCGTTAGCTCGTTAGCTCGTTAGATTGTTAGCTCGTTAGATCGTTAGCTCGTTAGATCGTTAGATTGTTAGCTCGTTAGATTGTTAGCTCGTTAGATCGTTAGCTCGTTAGATCGTTAGATGGTTAGATCGTTAGATCGTTAGCTCGTTAGATCGTTAGGTCGTTAGATCGTCCGCTCGTTAGCTCGTTAGATCGTTAGCTGGTTAGATCGTTAGATCGTTAGATCGTTAGCTCGTTAGATCGTTAGCTCGTTAGATCGTTAGCTCATTAGATTGTTAGATCGTTAGCTCGTTAGATCGTTAGATCATCAGCTCGTTAGCTCGTTAGATCGTTAGATCGTTAGATCGTTAGATCGTTAGATCATCAGCTCGTTAGCTCGTTAGATCGTTAGATTGTTAGATCGTTAGCTCGTTAGCTCGTTAGATTGTTAGCTCGTTAGATCGTTAGATCGTTAGATTGTTAGCTCGTTAGCTCGTTAGATTGTTAGATGGTTAGATCGTTAGATTGTTAGATCGTTAGATGGTTAGATCGTTAGATCGTTAGCTCGTTAGATCGTTAGATCATTAGCTCGTCCGCTCGTCCGCTCGTCAGCGAGTTAGATTGTTAGATCGTTAGATCGTTAGATCGTTAGCTCGTTAGATCATTAGCTCGTTAGATCGTTAGATCGTTAGCTCGTTAGATCGTTAGCTCGTTAGATCGTTAGCTCGTTAGCTCGTTAGTGCGTTAATCGTTAGATCGTTAGATCGTTAGTGCGTTAATCCTTAGATCGTTAGATCGTTAGATCGTCAGATCGTTAGATCGTTAGATCGTTAGCACGTTAGATCGTTAGATCGTCAGCTCGTCAGCGCGTTAGCTCGTTAGATGGTTAGATCGTTAGATCGTTAGATTGTTAGCTCGTTAGCGCGTTAGCTCGTTAGATCGTTAGCTCGTTAGATCGTTAGATCATTAGATCGTTAGATGGTTAGCTCGTTAGATCGTTAGCACGTTAGATCGTTAGCTCGTTAGCTCGTTAGATCGTTAGATGGTTAGATCGTTAGATCGTTAGATTGTTAGATCGTTAGATTGTTAGCTCGTTAGATGGTTAGCTCGTTAGATCGTTAGATTGTTAGATCGTTATATCGTTAGATTGTTAGCTCGTTAGATGGTTAGCTCGTTAGATCGTTAGATTGTTAGATCGTTAGCTCGTTAGATGGTTAGCTCGTTAGATCGTTAGATCATTAGGTCGTTAGATCGTTAGATTGTTAGATCGTTAGATCGTTAGATCGTTAGCTCGTTAGATCGTTAGATCGTTAGCTCGTTAGATCGTTAGATCATTAGATCGTTAGCTCGTTAGCTCGTTAGATCGTTAGCTCATTAGATCGTTAGATCGTTAGCGCGTCAGCTCGTCCGCTCGTTAGCTCGTTAGCTCGTTAGATCGTTAGATCGTTAGCTCGTTAGATCGTTAGATCATTAGATCGTTAGTGCGTTAGATCATTAGATCGTTAGCTCGTTAGCTCGTTAGATCGTTAGCTCTTTAGATTGTTAGATCGTTAGATCGTTAGATCGTTAGCTCGTTAGATCGTTAGCTCGTTAGATCGTTAGATCGTTAGCTCGTTAGATCGTTAGATCGTTAGCTCGTTAGATCGTTAGATCGTTAGCTCGTTAGATCGTTAGATCGTTAGCTCGTTAGATCGTTAGATCGTTAGCTCGTTAGATCGTTAGCTCGTTAGATCGTTAGATTGTTAGCTCGTAAGCGCGTTAGCTCGTTTGCTCGTTAGATCGTTAGATCGTTAGCTCGTTAGATCGTTAGCTCGTTAGCTCGTTAGATCGTTAGCTCGTTAGCTCGTTAGTGCGTTAATCGTTAGATCGTTAGATCGTTAGTGCGTTAATCCTTAGATCGCTAGATCGTTAGATCGTCAGATCGTCAGATCGTTAGCGCGTTAGATCGTTAGATCGTCAGCTCGTCAGCGCGTTTGATCGTTAAATCGTTAGATCATTAGATCGTTAGCTCGTTAGATCGTCAGCTCGTTAGATCGTTAGATCGTTAAATCGTTAGATCGTTAGCTCGTTAGATCGTTAGCTCGTTAGATCGTTAGCTCATTAGCTCGTTAGATCGTTAGTTCGTTAGATCGTTAGTGCGTTAGATCGTTAGTGCGTTATATCGTTAGCTCGTTAGATCGTTCGATCGTTAGCGCGTTAGATCGTTAGCTCGTTAGATCGTTAGATCGTTAGATCGTAAGATCGTTAGATCGTTAGCTGGTTAGATCGTCAGCACGTTAGCTCGTCAGCGCGTTAGATCGTTAGCTTGTTAGATCGTTAGATCGTTAGCTGGTTAGATCGTTAGATCGTTAGATCGTTAGATGGTTAGCTCGTTAGATCGTTAGATCGTTAGGTTGTTAGATCGTTAGCTCGTTAGATCGTTAGCTCGTTAGCTCGTTAGATGGTTAGCTCGTTAGATCGTTAGATCGTTAGCTCGTTAGATCGTTAGCTCATTAGATCATTAGCTCGTTAGATCGTTAGATCGTTAGCTCGTTAGATCGTTAGATCGTTAGCTCGTTAGATCGTTAGATCTTTAGATCTTTTGCTCGTTAGATCGTTAGCTCGTTAGATCGTTAGATCGTTAGCTCGTTAGCTCGTTAGATCGTTAGATCGTTAGCACGTTAGATCGTTAGCTCGTTAGATCGTTAGCTCGTTAGATCGTTAGCTCGTTAGATCGTTAGATCGTTAGCTCGTTAGATCGTTAGATCGTTAGCTCGTTAGCTCATTAGATCGTTAGCTCGTTAGCTCGTTAGATCGTTAGCTCGTTAGCTCGTTAGCACGTTAGATCGTTAGATCGTTAGCGCGTTAGCGCGTTAGATCGTTAGATCTTTAGATCGTTAGATCGTTAGCGCGTTAGATCGTTAGATCGTTAGCGCGTTAAATCGTTAGATCGTTAGATCGTTAGCGCGATAGATCGTTAGATCGTTAGCTCGTTAGATCGTTAGATCGTTAGCTCGTTAGATCGTTAGATCGTTAGCGTGTTAGATCGTTAGCTCGTTAGATCGTTAGCTCGTTAGCGCGTTAGATCGTTAGATCGTTAGATCGTTAGATTGTTAGATCGTTAGCTCGTTAGCTCGTTAGATGGTTAGATGGTTAGATCGTTAGATCGTTAGATCGTTAGCGTGTTAGATCGTTAGATCGTTAGCTCGTTAGATCGTTAGCGTGTTAGATCGTTAGATCGTTAGATTGTTAGATCGTTAGATCGTTAGATCGATAGGTCGTTAGCTCGTTAGATCGTTAGCACGTTAGATCGTTAGCTCGTTAGCTCGTTAGATCGTCAGCTCGTTAGTGCGTTAATCGTTAGATCGTTAGATCGTTAGTGCGTTAATCGTTAGATCGTTAGATCGTTAGATCGTCAGATCGTTAGATCGTCAGATCGTTAGATCGTTAGCTCGTTAGCTCGTTAGATCGTTAGCTCGTTAGATCGTTAGATCGTTAGCTCGTTAGATTGTTAGATCGTTAGCTTGGTAGCTCGTTAGATCGTTAGCTCGTTAGATTGTTAGATCGTTAGCTTGGTAGCTCGTTAGATCGTTAGATCATTAGCGTGTTAGATCGTTAGATCGTTAGCTCGTTAGATCGTTAGATCGTTAGCTCGTTAGCTCGTTAGTGCGTTAGATCGTTAGCTCGTTAGATCGTCAGCTCGTTAGATCGTTAGCTCGTTAGATCATTGGCGTGTTAGATCGTTAGATCGTTAGATCGTTAGCTCGTTAGATCGTTAGCTCGTTAGCTCCTCAGCGTGTTAGCTCGTTAGCTCGTTAGCTCGTTAGCTCGTCAGCGTGTTAGATCGTTAGCTCGTTAGATCGTTAGATCATTAGCGCGTTAGATCGTTAGATCGTTAGATCGTTAGATCGTTAGCGCGTTAGCTCGTTAGATCGTTAGATCGTTAGCTCGTTAGCTCGTTAGATCGTTAGCTCGTTAGATCGTTAGATCGTTAGCTCGTTAGATCGTTAGATCGTTAGCTCGTTAGATCGTTAGCTCGTTAGATCGTTAGCTCGTTAGATCGTTAGCTCGTTAGATCGTTAGATCGTTAGCTCGTTAGATCGTTAGCTCGTTAGATGGTTAGCTCGTTAGATCGTTAGCTCGTTAGATCGTTAGATTGTTAGCGCGTTAGCTCGTTAGATCATTAGATCGTTAGCTCGTCCGCTTGTTAGATCGTTAGCTCGTTAGGTCGTTAGATTGTTAGATCGTTAGATCGTTAGATCGTTAGC